GAGAAGAGGAAAGAAAACATGATTAAGCCAAAAGACATTAATGCCCTTATCCTAAAGCAACAAAAAAATTAAAGAAAAAAAAGGTGTACTTCGTAAATTAGAAAATAGGTAAAGGGCAAACATGTCATTTCATGTATTTTCTCTGATCTCCATGTGTATGTTTTCTCTTCAAAAGTGTAGAGAGTTTTTTAAGGCTTTTTCCACTCATTTTCTTTTTTCTCCTCATTTTCTATTGCAAACAAACAAGAGAAAAGATCTAGAAAATTGTGTTTTCCTCCCTCCACTTTTCTTTCCTTCCAAAATCCCCCAATCCAAACACATGCTAAAAGAAGTTAGAAAATTTTAACCCACGGAACCCACTGAACCCCCTACGGAGCTCCATTCATGAAATTGATGATTCCTATTCCCCCAAACTTCCCGGTAAACCCTTGGTTTTTACAAGAAAATTTTCTCCGAATTAATTCTTTCACTTTATTTTTTATTTTAATTTTTCCGTTGTAAAATTCAAATTATTTTCTTTGTTCTGTTTCCTGTTGTAATCTTTGTACTCAACAAAAAATTAAGGCGGAACTTTTTTGTGAAAGCGGGGGGAGTAGTATGTGGGGTAGTATAAATTATCTACTTTGGCTTTTATTGTTCTTTAATTTCTTCTTCTCAAAATATTTATCCTAATTTAGCTTTAATGTTAACTTTGATTATATATTCATTATAATTTTGTTGATCAATTCTTAAACATAATATATAAATTAGGGATTTAATCATGTGTACCTGATAATCCTGTAAACGCAGTTAGGGATGAGGCCATGATTCTCACACAGATCGAGTTCCCTTTTAGGGTGTATTGTTATGATGGCTAAGGCGAGGGCGAGACTCACGAGAATAGAGAGGCAGAGAAGAGGCGTAAGATTGGTGTGTTCTGATCTCTGCCTAATGACCTCTATATATACACCCAAGGGGAAACCCTAATTAGGTCGTAAGGGTAATTACGTCCGTCGAATAATTACCAAATAAATACGTAGAGTATTTATTAGGTCAATGATCAATTAATTAGATAAATGATAACTCAGGCCACATAATAAAATCGTGTCCAACATTCTCCCACTTGGTCGAGTAATCATTTATGATGAGTATTAGATAAGTCTGATCAGATTTTAATACTCATTTTAGTTCTAAACTGAAATTGTAGCAGAGAAATACAGTCATAGAATCGATATTCAATTCAAGACCCCCATTAATCATACTACAATACCAAATTTAAAACTTAAATAAGCTAAGGATCAAATTGACAATTAAGCCCATAAGATTATTTTGTACATAAATGTTGTCTATATGTCTTTAGGCATGCGTAGACACATTCAGAGACAAAACAAACAAAACAATGAGGAAATTTTATTATTAAATGTAAGCAAGTACAATATGCAACTAAATAAGGTCTTTAGATAACCCCATCTTTGAAACATGTTCTTCAAAAATCTTAGGAGGGAGACCTTTAGTCATCGGATCCGCAAGCATATTCTTAGTACTTATATGCTCAATACAAAGTTTATTTTCCTCAACTCGCTCACGTACGAACAAGTACTTTGTATCAAGATATAAAGCAGCGCCAGTCGAACTGTTACTGTTCGAGAAACTAACGGCGGCTGAGTTATCACAATAAAGCTTCAATGGTCGAGAGATGGAATTAACTACTTTGAGTCCAGTGATGAGGTTTCTGAGCAACATTCCATGACAGGTTGCGTTGTACAGCGCAATGTATTCTGCCATCATTGTAGAAGTTGC